GTGTGTGAGTGTGTGAGTGAGTGAGTGTGTGTGTGTGAGTGTGAGTTTGTCTTTGTGTGTGTGAGTGTGTGTGAGTGAGTGAGTGTGTGTGAGTGTGAGTTTGTGTGAGTGTGAGTTTGTGTGTGAGTGTGAGTTTGTGTGTGTGAGTGTGAGAGCACACCTGTGGTGTGTGTCGAGGCTGCTGAGAGTGTGTGTGTGAGAGAGTGAGTGAGTGAGCGTGAGTGTGTGTGAGTGAGAGTGAGTGAGTGAGCGTGAGTGTGTGTGAGTGAGAGTGAGTGAGTGAGCGTGAGTGTGTGTGAGTGAGAGTGAGTGAGTGAGCGTGAGTGTGTGTGAGTGAGAGTGAGTGAGTGAGCGTGAGTGTGTGTGAGTGAGAGTGAGTGAGTGAGCGTGAGTGTGTGTGAGTGAGAGTGAGTGAGTGAGCGTGAGTGTGTGTGAGTGAGAGTGAGTGAGTGAGCGTGAGTGTGTGTGAGTGAGAGTGAGTGAGTGAGCGTGAGTGTGTGTGAGTGAGAGTGAGTGAGTGAGCGTGAGTGTGTGTGAGTGAGAGTGAGTGAGTGAGCGTGAGTGTGTGTGAGTGAGAGTGAGTGAGTGAGCGTGAGTGTGTGTGAGTGAGAGTGAGTGAGTGAGCGTGAGTGTGTGTGAGTGAGAGTGAGTGAGTGAGCGTGAGTGTGTGTGAGTGAGAGTGAGTGAGTGAGCGTGAGTGTGTGTGAGTGAGAGTGAGTGAGTGAGCGTGAGTGTGTGTGAGTGAGAGTGAGTGAGTGAGCGTGAGTGTGTGTGAGTGAGAGTGAGTGAGTGAGCGTGAGTGTGTGTGAGTGAGAGTGAGTGAGTGAGCGTGAGTGTGTGTGAGTGAGAGTGAGTGAGTGAGCGTGAGTGTGTGTGAGTGAGAGTGAGTGAGTGAGCGTGAGTGTGTGTGAGTGAGAGTGAGTGAGTGAGCGTGAGTGTGTGTGAGTGAGAGTGAGTGAGTGAGCGTGAGTGTGTGTGAGTGAGAGTGAGTGAGTGAGCGTGAGTGTGTGTGAGTGAGAGTGAGTGAGTGAGCGTGAGTGTGTGTGAGTGAGAGTGAGTGAGTGAGCGTGAGTGTGTGTGAGTGAGAGTGAGTGAGTGAGCGTGAGTGTGTGTGAGTGAGAGTGAGTGAGTGAGCGTGAGTGTGTGTGAGTGAGAGTGAGTGAGTGAGCGTGAGTGTGTGTGAGTGAGAGTGAGTGAGTGAGCGTGAGTGTGTGTGAGTGAGAGTGAGTGAGTGAGCGTGAGTGTGTGTGAGTGAGAGTGAGTGAGTGAGCGTGAGTGTGTGTGAGTGAGAGTGAGTGAGTGAGCGTGAGTGTGTGTGAGTGAGAGTGAGTGAGTGAGCGTGAGTGTGTGTGAGTGAGAGTGAGTGAGTGAGCGTGAGTGTGTGTGAGTGAGAGTGAGTGAGTGAGCGTGAGTGTGTGTGAGTGAGAGTGAGTGAGTGAGCGTGAGTGTGTGTGAGTGAGAGTGAGTGAGTGAGCGTGAGTGTGTGTGAGTGAGAGTGAGTGAGTGAGCGTGAGTGTGTGTGAGTGAGAGTGAGTGAGTGAGCGTGAGTGTGTGTGAGTGAGAGTGAGTGAGTGAGCGTGAGTGTGTGTGAGTGAGAGTGAGTGAGTGAGCGTGAGTGTGTGTGAGTGAGAGTGAGTGAGTGAGCGTGAGTGTGTGTGAGTGAGAGTGAGTGAGTGAGCGTGAGTGTGTGTGAGTGAGAGTGAGTGAGTGAGCGTGAGTGTGTGTGAGTGAGAGTGAGTGAGTGAGCGTGAGTGTGTGTGAGTGAGAGTGAGTGAGTGAGCGTGAGTGTGTGTGAGTGAGAGTGAGTGAGTGAGCGTGAGTGTGTGTGAGTGAGAGTGAGTGAGTGAGCGTGAGTGTGTGTGAGTGAGAGTGAGTGAGTGAGCGTGAGTGTGTGTGAGTGAGAGTGAGTGAGTGAGCGTGAGTGTGTGTGAGTGAGAGTGAGTGAGTGAGCGTGAGTGTGTGTGAGTGAGAGTGAGTGAGTGAGCGTGAGTGTGTGTGAGTGAGAGTGAGTGAGTGAGCGTGAGTGTGTGTGAGTGAGAGTGAGTGAGTGAGCGTGAGTGTGTGTGAGTGAGAGTGAGTGAGTGAGCGTGAGTGTGTGTGAGTGAGAGTGAGTGAGTGAGCGTGAGTGTGTGTGAGTGAGAGTGAGTGAGTGAGCGTGAGTGTGTGTGAGTGAGAGTGAGTGAGTGAGCGTGAGTGTGTGTGAGTGAGAGTGAGTGAGTGAGCGTGAGTGTGTGTGAGTGAGAGTGAGTGAGTGAGCGTGAGTGTGTGTGAGTGAGAGTGAGTGAGTGAGCGTGAGTGTGTGTGAGTGAGAGTGAGTGAGTGAGCGTGAGTGTGTGTGAGTGAGAGTGAGTGAGTGAGCGTGAGTGTGTGTGAGTGAGAGTGAGTGAGTGAGCGTGAGTGTGTGTGAGTGAGAGTGAGTGAGTGAGCGTGAGTGTGTGTGAGTGAGAGTGAGTGAGTGAGCGTGAGTGTGTGTGAGTGAGAGTGAGTGAGTGAGCGTGAGTGTGTGTGAGTGAGAGTGAGTGAGTGAGCGTGAGTGTGTGTGAGTGAGAGTGAGTGAGTGAGCGTGAGTGTGTGTGAGTGAGAGTGAGTGAGTGAGCGTGAGTGTGTGTGAGTGAGAGTGAGTGAGTGAGCGTGAGTGTGTGTGAGTGAGAGTGAGTGAGTGAGCGTGAGTGTGTGTGAGTGAGAGTGAGTGAGTGAGCGTGAGTGTGTGTGAGTGAGAGTGAGTGAGTGAGCGTGAGTGTGTGTGAGTGAGAGTGAGTGAGTGAGCGTGAGTGTGTGTGAGTGAGAGTGAGTGAGTGAGCGTGAGTGTGTGTGAGTGAGAGTGAGTGAGTGAGCGTGAGTGTGTGTGAGTGAGAGTGAGTGAGTGAGCGTGAGTGTGTGTGAGTGAGAGTGAGTGAGTGAGCGTGAGTGTGTGTGAGTGAGAGTGAGTGAGTGAGCGTGTGTGTGAGGAATGTGTGTGTGTGTGTACCTCCAGAGTGCAGCGGTGCTCTCCTCACAGTCCTTCAGTGTCAGCGTCAGTCTCACACAGCTACAATGCGCCAGAAGCAGCTCTTTCTGAAACTTGCGTGACGCTTGTTCGTTCGACAACATGCTCGGCTGGCAGATGTACTCCTGAAATACAGCAGAGGGAAGCGCCACAAGCACACAGATCATCAGGATCATCACTTCCCATGATCCTCTGAAACCTTTCATGACAACACGAAAACAGAGCGTGAACACGTTTCAGCTTTACCATACTTGAGCTCGATGCATGCATGTTGATCAGTGTTTATTATTGAATTCATTCCGTTGATCGTATCACGCGATCGGATTAAACCACTCCATTCACATGGTTTACCGTTAAGACGCCTTTATGAACTTTTCGAAGCATCTAAGTTGTGCTTACGTGGACTTTGAATGGAGGGACAGAAATCTCTCAGGTTTCATTTAAACACATCATGTGTTCTGAAGATGAATAAAAGTCTTACGGGTTGTCAGTGAACTATGCCTTTAAAGGTGAATCAGCTAAAAATAACCAGCGTGAGAGACAAGTGAAAAGCTGTGACCTGCATTAAGAGCAGACTGTACCTGCAGGGTGCTGACTAACAGCTGGTACCACTGCAGACAGTGTCTCAGGACGCCGGCTCTCTCCACAGCGAGGCAGTGTTTGACGGCGTCCTGGAGCCGGCCCTCGGCACTGTAGAGCTGCACCAGCTTCTGGTTGATGTAGGTGTCGGAGGGCCGCAGCTTGAGCTCCGCCTGCAGCAGCTCGTACAGCTGGTTGGAGCCGCTCTGAGCGCTCAGAAGCTTCTCCTGCGGCAGAGAGGACGCGTGAGACGCAGCGCAGCGGATAACTCTTCAGCTCATGTGATGCACACACACTCACCCTCAGACTGAAGACGCCCGGATGTCCCGGCAGAAGCCTGGCAGCTTTCTCCACCCAGAACTCAGCTCGGCTGTCATGCTCCGGTTTACTGCACAGCAGCTCGGCCACCTTCAGGACCAGATCGTGCTGAGCCGGATTCAGATCCACCGAGCGCTAGGAGTCCAACACACACCGTCATTACATCACACACACTGCGCACAACACACACGTCTTACCCCTGATGAAGTGTCTAACAGTCTGATGCAGGCCTCTCACTGCTCGCTCTGCTGAGACTAACTCGCACGAGCACATGATTTGGTTGCACTTTTTTTTTTTTTTACACGGGATTAATCAATGCATGCTGATGAACAGCTTTTCTTTTATCATAGTTTATAGTTATATGGATGGTATGGCAACAGAAGTGGTTAACATTCAACCCGTTCTTTATCATCCGTGTTGTTTGTGAACTGAATTTTGTGAACTTTTGCTGTTATGAGCCGGGCTTCGGACGCTTTCACTTTCACTGTTGCGATCTTGGTGTCACGTTTTACAAGAAGAGATAATTGTCTGTTGTGCTTACATCTATACACCTTTCACTTTATAAGACTAAACAAATGTTTGATAGATGGATTCATTGTTATTCTTAATCGAAAAGCACAACAATAAAACAGTAGGCTACCATGACAAACTAGCTTTAAAAAAAATGAAAAGAGAGCCTCCATTAGTGTAGCGTGAGGTAAATAGCAAAGATAACAGGCTTTTCAAAATAAAGACAAAAGAAAAGTAAAACTAAACTGGCTGTTGGTGACAGTGCTTGCATGATTGTTTTTCATGAAAACCAACATGTTCACTTCTGTGGTTTAAGAAGCGGTCTTTCACTTTACTTTCACTTGAAAACCAAATCCTCCACCTGCTATTGTTTCCTCAGTATTTCTGTCATTTTTGGCAGGAGAGAGAGAAAACAGCCTGTTACCACTGCATCCGGACTGCACAAGATGAGCACACAAACCACTACAAAGATTTCATTATCAAAATATCATATGCATTGCACAACAGATTTGATAACACTATAATATGGATATTTATTCCCAGTCCGATGATTTATGCATGATCACATTAAACTCGAGCTCGAGAGAGTGTTTAAGAGCATGCATTAGGAGAACATGTGAGAGCAAACGAGGAGAGGCCAAACCTTGTAACATCCCACAGCTTTGTCTGTTTCGCCGTCACGCTCAAACAGCTGCCCGAGGAACTTGTGCGCTTTAGGGTCCTTCGGCTGGACGGTCAGATACTCCGAAACATGTCTGCCATTGAAGTGTGTGAGAGAGAGAAACATCAGCTCATCCGAGAGGAAGCAGACATCAGACAAAGCAGCAGGAGCACAGAGACCAGCCTACCTTTTAGCCAGCTCATACTCCTTAGCCTCAAAGTAGAGTTTAGCAAAGAGAAATCCTTTGACGGGCTTCTGCAGAAACAACACAGCTCAGGGTCATGACACCTAACGATCACAGAAACCCCCGCACAGAGAACTACATCTATTAGATGAACAGAAGAACATTCTAGCCGAACGCACACATCTGTGCTAACTGTTATCTTTGGTATCTGAGAACAGATTTATTCTCACATGTTCTTAATATAATTTCTAAATTCTTCATTGAATTATGTGATCTGAAGTGTCCGTTTTCTTCCACGTGCGCGAGTGTTATGAGTCAGAGCGCGTTAACTCTCTAGAACTTCCGTGTTTAAAAAAACGAGTGAAACATTTTTCTACACATGAAATATGAAAGCAAATAGACATATGATT